TGAAAATAGTCACTGCACTAGTTATAAATCTTTAAAAGAAGAATGTATATCTTTTACATATTATTCTTTTAATTTAAAAATTTCAAATCTAATTGAGTAGTCAGAAAAATCAGTTTGCCTAGCTGACCTATGGATCCTATTCTATTTGTAGGTTTAAAAGAATACATATATATATATATATATATATATATATATATATATATATATATATATATGTGTGTGTGTGTGTGTGTGTGTGTATATGTATTATTTATATATATGTATATGTATTCTTCTTTCAAACCTATAAATCATAATTCCTCTCTTTATACTGCATTATTTACATCTGTATATAAATATGCTTTAGTAGCTCATCTATTAAAAAAATAAACTCTTCCCTTGGTCCTTTATCCTCCAGTTATTTCCTAATTCCTCCACGTTCTTACCAAGAAGAGTGGATCAAAACATTTGAACACGGGTTCCCTCAAATGCCATTGACCTGCCATTCTCAAGCTGCCCCAGCTGGGTTGCTAACTCATCCACCACCTACCTTTCCAGTAGCTTCCATGGGGTCAGATGCCAAGACCACTTTGCTTTCATGTGCATGATTTTCTCAGCAGTGTTCAGCAGCAAATGACTGTTGGCTTAGCCCTGTCCACGCCCCTTTTAAAAACTTTTTCTCTACAGTTCTGTGATATTGTTAAGTCTGGGATTTCCTTTTATCACACAGGCATAGTCCTACCCAGTGTCATTTGCTTGCCTGAAAGTGTTGGCTACAGCATTCTGGGTCTCCTCATCCTCCATTTGTCACAAAGCTTTGAATATCACCTGTATTCTGGCCACTTTTGAATCTGTATTTTTCAGACCTGACCTCTGCTTTTGAGTTCAGACCTATCTATTCAGCTGCCTGCCTTCTTTTCATTCTATGCTCCAAACCTTTTGAAGCCTAGACTCATGGATCAAACTATTCAGTATTTTCTTTTCATTCTCATGCTTTCATTTGCCATCATCTCAGTTAAAGACATGATCTCTTGCTCCCCATCCCCATCACGGTAGAGTCATGGGCTAGGTGTATTAGATCCACCCCAAAATACGTATTTTATAAAATTTCACATTTCATAAAAATCATGACTGTTTTGTCTCTTCCTCTCTAATTTGTTTCCTTTCCTATCTTAGTGCATTGATAAGGACATCTAGGGATATGAAGAGGATAGCATTAAGGGTGATTATTCCTATCTTGTTCTTGAATTTAATATGATGGCTTGTATATTTTTTACTGCTGCATAGGATGCTTATTGAAGGTTTCTGGTAGATGTGCTACTTCTCATAGGAAGTTTCTTTCTGTGTTACTGTGCTGCAAATGCTTAATCATGAATCGGTCTTGGATTTTTCAGCTTACTTTTTGGCATGATCATACTGTTTTTCCCCCCTTGTAATCTGTGAATTCAGTGACTGGGTAGACGGACTGGACCTGCCTCATGCTTGCATTCTTGAGACTTAGGTCCCCCAATCCAGCTGCTCTGTACATTCAAGATGTCTCATGGCTATTCTTCTTCATGGCACTTTGCTTTGGGCAGGTCCTTGGATCCCTTCCACCATGTCATACTGTCTCCCTGGGTCTTTGTGGGCAGCCTACCCTCTGTGCTGTTAGAGTTTTAGAAAAGATCTCCTTGTTCTAGCAATCTCGGGCCACAGGCTGCCTGAGGAGGCTGGAGCCTGTGCTTAGTGTGCCATCTTGAGGAGAGATAGAAAAGGACTTGAATTATTCTGCTTGATGACATGAAGAGATTGGGGATCATCCTGACTTAACAGCCATGCCCTTGATCCAGAACTCGGTGACACGAAGCAGGACAAAGGGAGATGATAATCTGGAGGAAAGAAAGACCTCTTCACATTTAATGTTGGCTAAGTTTCAAGTGAGGAGAAAAAAGAGACAGGCATGGGAAGAAGGGAAGGCAGAGACCACAAAATGTCAGGGACTAAGGAATTTAATTAAAAGTTGATTATTTCCCTTGAAAGTTTCCATCATCATTTCTCACAAAATATTGCTGAAAACATTCTTGTAAGAACTGACTCTTGCATAGAAGGGGTGGGGGAGATCCCTGGAAAATCCCCTGTCATTCAGTCTGAGCACCAATATGATCAGAAGTTATGCAGACCATCAATAGGTAGAAAAAAAATGGGGAAAAGATTAAAGTCATGTTGTGACTTCCTTGAAGGGTGGTGGAAGGATTTCTTTGAATTTCAATAAATTTCATAGTCCTCTACGGATATTCAAAAGGGGCTGGAGTTGGGGATCCTCAATCCTTCAGTTTTGTGTAATTTTATTCATTCCACAAATACCTGTGGAAACTTTCAATGTGCCAGGTACTTTGTTATGTTTTGGAGATTTGGGGCTAAGAAATATATATATGTCAGTCCCCTCCTTCATGAAAAGTGGTGTCCAGGAGGTAAGAGAACATTAAACAAACAAATGTAAATGTGGTGAGAAGTTTTAAATAAAGTACGCCTGGTAGGCTGAAAGTAAAATGTGCACAGTCGGCATAGTCAGCGCACAGCTGGGTCTAGTTCCCCTAAGAAATCGCTCCTTGATTGATCCCTAAGAGAGGAGTCAAAGAACCATTAATCAGCCTTCCCGACCAGACTCCTCTTGTTGCAAAGCAGAAAAAAGAATGAAAGAAAGCATCTAAATTTTTTTATCTATTCTATCTATCTAAAGGTACCTTTAAAAACAAGAAAGTGTGTGGCCTCAGAATCATGGGGCTATAGAGACGGAAGCCTTGGTGACCAGCGGCCACATTTACCATCAGTGGCCAACTGGCTTGCCTTGTAGCTGACCTGACTCACCTGGTGCTGGAGCCCCACCCACCAGGAGAAGAGGAAAGAGACATGAAATCAGGAGAAGCTGTTCCAGGGCAGGTCCTCAGGAGCTACCCTGCTGGAACAGCACACTGGAGAGGATTTGAGGAAGGGGCAGTATTTTAGTGGGACTTTTCTGATAACCAGTGCAGAAACTCAACTCAAACTGGTAGAAGCCAAAGGAAGTGATTTATTGATTCAGCAAGAAAAACAATCTGGGCGTTGACCTGGAACTTGAATTACTACTGTATCTAGATCCTTGAACAATTCCTTGAGGATATAACTCTTTGTCTTTGGTTTGTCATCAGTTTCTTTGTCTATCGAGCCTCTTTGTGTGAAGATAATGTTATTACAAGACAACTCCATGCTCTTATGATTCAGAAACTCATTCTTTTTCCACCACACCTTTGTGATTCATCAAGAAAGGGTACTGACTGGTCTGCCGAGGTCCTGTGAACATCCACGGTCGGTCAAGTCACTAGGTCCAGGGGATGCAGTGCTGGTTGGTCATCAGAGGTCTCATGCCTACTTTTAATACAGAAATTCGGGGGTCTGGTGTAGTCAGCTTTTCATTGCTGAGACCAAAACACCTGACAAGAACAACATGGAGGAGGAAAAATTATTTTGGCTCCCAAGTTCAGAGGTTCGGTCATCCAAATCCATGACAACCAGGAAGGAGAGAGAGAGAGAGAGAGAGAGAGAGAGAGAGAGAGAGAAGAGAGAGAGAGAGAGAGAGAGAGAGAGAGAGAGAGAGAGAGAGAGAGAGAGAGAGAGAGAACGCTTTGCTCACCAGGGACAAATAAAAACCTCAAAGTCATGCAAACCATAACAGGGTCCCTTGATTGTCAGCTCCATTTCAATCAGAGAGAAGGTAAAGGTACCTCTCAAGAGGAAGTTTAATAATCCAGATGAAAAAGTAAAGGAGTCAACAAAAGAATGGAAAATTTATGTATGTTCTTCTCTTTGAGCATGCTATAGGCTCTTGTAATTAGAATCGCTCTAATGGCTTGTTCTTTTAGTTAAGGGTGCTGAAGCTGGAATCTAATCATCTATTTCAAATTTTTGCTCTACCAATTACTAGTTTGTCACTTTGAGATTTAGTTTCCTAAAGTCAGTGAAGGCTGCACACGTACACCTGGTGTGGCAGGGCCCAGCGGCATGGATTTGCAATGGCATGACCTTCAGCACAGAGGGTCCCGGCACAAGTTCCCATCCCAAACACACAGCATACCCTGCAGAGCTTTAGTTGGTTTGTGTGGCACAAGATAGTACTGCTTTTTGTCTTCTTGCTTAGTTTAATTTCCTGACATTAACAACAAATTTTCTAGAATAACAGACTTTGGTCTGTCAGAAAATCATTTGCTTTTTTTCCCAAAGGAAGAAGCATGGGGAGTTTGGTCGGCTACAAGGCATCTCCCACCTGAAACGGTGAGATGGATGGATGTTCCTCTGTGCTAAGGAAGAACCCTAAAGAATACTGTGAATGTAGAAATATGCGTCAACACCCCCAGTATTCCGTGGAATGTATCTCCATGAGTTTATCCTATTATGTTAGAACATTAATTTCCAGGAACTCACTTGAAACAGGGCCTGCCTGGAATAGTCCCTCCTATGTTTGCTGCACCAGGGGAATGATGTAACCCAGTTCAAGTGTGCCCTGGGCTGGCATGTAGTGAGTTCCCTATCAAGTATAACTTATTGTAATTAGGATCCCATTCTTGCAGTTGTACATGATGTGTAATTTTATTCATTCCACAAATACCTGTGGAATGAATATTCATTTTTAAGAAGTATTTGCTGATCTCCTGGTCTGTTCAAATCACCTAGACAAGTGATTTTTGTGAAATGTGAAATAATTTTAGAATTAGGAGAAAGATATTTTAAATGGAGCCAAAGGAAGACATTCTTGGGCTTGTCTCTGTTAACCCAATAAAGAAAACACAAAATGCTAACCAATGAAAACAATCAGCTTTAAAAAATTAATCTAGAGGAAAGCAGTTGAGTTATATATATTGCTCATTTTGAAAAACCACTGTCTAATCTCTACTTTGCAAAATAATTGAAATGATTCAGAGAAAATAATTATGGTTGAATTTAGGTGAGGATTGGTCTGTTGCATCTGATGAATGATCTTGTTCAGAGAGAACACGTTTTACAATTCTTCATTTTTCATTTTCAAATATGTATGGTTTCATGGGGTTTTCCTGCCAACGAGGCAGGACAAGATATTGGCCACTTCCCTTTGGACAGGCCAGTCCCAAACCTCAAAGAAAGGAACCAGATTCTTCTGCACCGTTTCAGAGAACTTCTTCACCCATGGATTTATCTTGCCAGCCTTGTCTTTGGAGAGGTCAGAGAGGGTCTGGGAATCAATAAAGAGCTGGATGAATGGCTCCCCAAGTTCCCCTGGAGCCAGAGAAGGACAGACGAGATAAAATGAGGTACATCGCTTGTAACAGATACCCCACCCCAGCACACACAGAAGGTCATACCGTGATGCTTTGTTATAATCCACATTTTAACACTGATTTCGTCTCTCCAGTGGCCGTTTCCTCCTCCATCATGTATTAGCTTGTTCCTGTGACTGGTGCCATATCTTATTCTGTCTCAATCAATCTCAGAGATGGAATTTGTGCCACATCACTTACTTCCTAGCTGGTTCTCAGTAAATGGTAGCTACCTTCAGGATTGCAATTTCCCTCACTCCTAAGCTTGATGATTCTGATTTGAATCAGGCTGAGGTGAGCACACCCTCTCATATTGTGTAGCTAAAAATTAGAAAGGGCTAGCTGGAACTGTAGAGCTGCAAGTCTAGGAGATACAGATTCCTGGCCCTTCACTTAGGAATCTATGACCCCAGGAAATAACAGCTGTGAGAACAAGTTAGACTGTTTCAACCTGCACCGGCATCCTGCTTCCATTCTTGCTCAGATGTGACACAGCCTGCATCCTGGAAAGTGTCTAACGCTAATTACAATCAACCACTGTTGAGGATCTATGCAGTATCAGGCACTGTGCTAAACACTAGAGGCCCAGGGACGAAAAAGGAGACAAGTGCTCCAACAAGTAGCTGGAATGTAGTGTCATAGGAGCCACATTGGAACACAGAAGTAACATGGAGGACAAAGTAAATGATACCTCAAAGGATAATATCCAGGGAAGGCTTCCAGGAAGGGGCATCTAAACAGCTGATTTTAAAAGTTGAACAGGTATTTCCCCAGTATACGAAGAAAGAAAAACTATTTAAGTAAGAAAAAGCAGTATTTATAAGTGCACAAGACCATAAACGGTGGTGAGCTGTTGTGAATTCTCTGATCAGTCTGTATTTGCAGGAGATTGAGCAAGCGGGCAGGGATCTGGAACTAGAGGCGGAGGATAAGGCAGAGCTAGATAATGAAAGGTTTGGTATTCTACCTGAAGGCGACAAGGAGTTATGGAAGGGTTCTAGGCTGAACATTATGGTTTATTTGGAGCATTCTGGAAGACAGGTCAGTCAGGATCAAGGTTAGAGGTAGGGAGACCATGAGGCGGCTACTGGAGCAGTCCAGGTCAGGGCTGCTGGGACCTGAATTTTGGCCATGGTGCTGGCAAAGGAAGGGGAACTGGGAAGGTGGTCACCTGCTCAGATCCCAGAGCAATGAGAGTCTTCATGGAGAGCAGAGACGGGAGTCTGTCTCCAAGGCCTTCGACTTGAACTTGGCAGCTAAGCTTCTGGCTGACACTGTGGTCATCTCATGAAGGCACTCAGACAGATTACTTTTTCATAAGGAGCATGGTGTAGCCCAAAAGTCATCTCAGACTCTTTGGGATTATGAAGACAAAGTCAAAGTCCAGAGGCAATGTGCCAAGGTGTCCAAAGACACTGAAACTGGGCTTCAGGTCTGTCCTTTCTGATTAATTATACGATCAACAGTAAACTTAAATGTTTTAACTTTGGGTTTCTGAACCTGCAGAACAGGCTACAGTGGTATTTCCTCAGTGTCTTTCACATAGCTAGCAAAAACATGGAAGAGGAGGTTTTTGAAAAGCTGTAAAACACTGCAAGTATTATTTATTTTATGACAAAATCAGAACTTGCCCACGTGTAAAGTTTGAGTAGGAAGGTGCCGTTCAGAATAACCTGCTACCAAGTCACTCCCCCAACACGTCCTTGTAATATGCTGTTAGAGAGAAGTGATGTCATCGTCTTCAGAGCTCTAACAACAGTGCAGGAGGACCTATGTGCAATTGGCAAAGCTGAGATTTTATTAAAGTTTGTCTGGCCGGAGCCATGTATTATGGTATCTTTTCCACAATGATTCTACTTATTTTCATTTATTTCCATGAAGTTGGGTGGTGGAGGAGAGGAGAGGGACACAATCCATTATCTAAACATTATCCGTATCAGATATATAACACCTGAGCCACAGGAAGGTTCTGACATGCTGCCCTGTCTCTTGTGCCCAGGGAGGACCTCCTATGGCCAGCAGGGCTAGCAAAGGAGCTGTTGTGCTCTTGAGATCACCAGGAAGTTACAGAACTGTGAGGCCCATCTGCCCCACATATGCTCAGTTCCTACAGAGATCTTTCCATCTTTCCATCTTTCCATCCCCACAAAGCCACCTTCGGGCAGAATTCTCACAGTCCCTCCCAGGGCTGCGAGATCACCCGGGTGGTCCTTAACCCAGCCAGGCTGCCCTGACCCCTGTCTCCCACACCTCACCTACAATTCCTAAGCTCCATCTTCTTAAAAGTTCACGGGGAAGAAGGGAAAGGCCCAGGCTGAGCTGCTGAGGCTGGCCCCCATCGTTTCCCCAGGCCCTCCGTGGTCCTGGGCCCCTTCTCCATTCCATACCCTTGCTGATCTCAGTGGTGTTGGGAGGGTCCATGGGAGGTGGAAAGGAGGGTCACAGACTGGCAGAGAGCGCTGAGTTGATCAGTTCTTGGGTAAGGCTGGAGAGCTGCCACTGGTGATTGGTTTTCCTTATTCACCAGGGGTGAGTCCTCTTGTTGAATCATTTCCACATTTTTCTTAGCAGACTCATAGATGGGATTCCCCTCTGTGGGATTGGAAACCTGTGGGAATGGTCTTTTATCAGTCTCTCCTTCTGGCTCTTTCCCTTGTACATCAGGGACTCAAGATGGGATAAAGCTGTGCAAAAATGGTAGCTTACTGCCCAGGCTGGGGGACTGGGAAGCAGCCTTGGCTGGCTGCCTGATTAATGATGCCACCATCAGAGCATTTAAGGAACTTTTAATTCAGATACCCAAGACATGCAGTTAGACTCTAGTGCCTGAGGTCCCACACCAGACCTGCATGCCCATCTGCAGTCTTCCCCATCTGCCACAAATTTCTCCACCTTTTAGACACACATGCTGGTGAGTAAGGAACAACAAAAGACATTATTGCCACTGGTCAGAAGTTCTGCCCTGTGGCAGGGCCCAGGTCTTTCACTGTTGGGTGCAACCTACACCTGCCTTTCTGATTCCCTGTCAGCCAGCTCAAAGTATTGATCCCTAATGGGCCCATTCTTTGATTAAGTAGCAAACGGTGCAGAATCTAGGGAGGGGCTGCAGGAAACAGTTGAATGAGCTACCTGTTGGCAGAAGAATGGTCCCTTCCTGGGTACCAGGAGCTGTCAGGGGACTCCCCTTCCTGAGGGGACTGTGAGCAGACTCCCACTTCCAGCTAGGAGATCCCTTCCAGGTCCTGACTGGGGTCTTCCCGATACTTGGAAAAAAGGATTTCCCACGTCAATGCTGGTGGGAGAAGTGCTAAACAGGACAGCAAAGGACACCCAAGACCTGAGCTCATTTGGCATAAAACCGTCACCAGGAAGCAGAGGGGACTGCTATTTTAACCTGACTTTGTACATCTCCCCATCAGTTTTAACTGGAGGTATTCAATATCACAAACGGGGAGGGTTTTACTTATAGGTACAATCAATTTATCTTAGAAAGTGGTATTTTGGGCTTTCCCTCCTTTTGTAAAGCGATTTCTGCCTAGTTTATTGTATAGTTAACTTTATTGAGCTTTTAAAAGTAGGCATTGTAAATAAAACAACTTGCAAAAAGGTTTCTGAAATAGAATTAACAAAATATTATATTTATTCATGAGTTGGAAACTGGAAAAAGGCTACTTGATGTAAATGTTCTGAATTGGGGTTGTCAGGATGTCTTCCAGCCTCCTGGAGTCCATCAGTACCACTGGGATGGATTAGCCTGATTGATTAAGAGCGTTCCCTTAATTGAACCAAAGGACTTGGGTTTTTTGTTTGTTTGTTTGTTTGTTTTTAATCTCAGCTTTGAATATGTTGCCTAGAGACTCAGTTATTACTCAGTTTGTGGACTTGGAGGGGAGAAATGTAACTAGACAGTTTGATAGCTTTTCAATTAAAAAGGACACTTAATTCATGTGGTATGTCATCTTTTTATAAATCAGTGTTCCCATATGGGGAAAACTATTCATTCTACTTGCATGTAAAAAGTAACCTTTAATATTGAAATATGTGGCAAAACCCAGAAAACATCATATGAGTACAAGATACTTTCAATAAAAAGTAAGTTATGTTAAAAAAAAAAATGTACATTTAAAATTTCCCAGTAAAATTTTCCAGGATAAATTGCTGTCTCATTTTGTTGGATATTCTAAGTTGATGAACTGAATCATTAAAAATACAGAATAAATCAAGTTTAAAAAAGAGTTTATCATTTCTATAGAGAATAGTCCTATTTCTACACATAGGTGCACAGAAAATACTCATAGATAAAACAATTTTGTGAAATTCTCAAATTATCCTTTTTAGGGTTCTAGAATTTCTTTTGTTACATTTATTGATTTATTGTGGTGCTGGGAATCAAACTCAGGGCCTCACAGAGCCCCCAAATTTTGTAGTTTTAAAATAAAACTTCTGAAAATATTAAATAGAGAAAATGGAGAAAAATGTTTTATCATTTATTACTTACCACTTTTTATAATTGCCAGATAAAATAATGTATCAAGTTGTATTCTATGTAGCTATCCAAAGTTTGGGGATTGTATAAATAAAATATTTTGGTATAGGCAGTCATGTGTCACACAATAAAAAAATGAGTGAAAAATGCCACTTGTGAAAACAGCGTGCACAGGAAAATCCAAAATAATATTTAAAATATTACTGAAAGAACAAAAAAATTACTAGAAGAGTGTATTTTGAAAATTATTTGCAATTAACTCTGAATAAGATCTGTAACTAATTTGCATTTCCTTGTAACCTTCCCTACATTTTTGTGAATTTTCATAAGTAGACAAATAGTAATCTTTATGATATTTGAAATTTTTTGTATGTTGATGTCACCAAATACCATGATAATGACTGCTGTAGTTAATTTATTTTCAGCATTAGATAAAGATCAAGAAAGCATTTCAAAACGTCATCTTTCTCAAAATCAATGAATAGCATTCTCATTTAAGTGTCAATTCTACCTATAGATTTCTCCATCTATACAGAGGTTTCACAACTAATTTTCAGTCTGATGTCTTTGAACAGGAAACCCTAAAGAAAAACTTTGTGGTTGAGGTTTTCAATTAGTGAACACACATTGCTTCTTATACTTTGGAACTACAGAGATGGAGTTGTAGTATGTAGAGAAAGAGATGCTGCAGTTAACAAAATTTTAAGCCTGATTATGCTTAATTTCTTTAATTTCAACTCTTGATTAATTGGACGGGGGAGAGGATTCCGAAATACATCAATATGTCATAGTGTTTAAGAGCTCTGACGATGGTTTCTAAGTGATGCAGTCATTACTAAATTAAGTAAATCATTTTTTCTCATTTATACAGCTATCAAGAAAACATGACAAAATTTATTCTGATTTCTAAAATATAAGACAAAAATAAGTCATAAGTGAAATTGCTTATCTGGATATAATGAATTCGTTTGTATATGTAACATCAAAACATTAGAATTCCTATTGCCTCAGGAAAAGGGCAACGATGCCCTCTGTCACTGATACCAGTCCCATTTTAAAGGATGACTTAGCTAATGAAAAAAAATTAGAAATTATAACGGAAGGAGCAAAGATACCATATCATTTGCTAATAAAATTGTATCTACTAGAAAATTTAAGATAATTAGTTGAGACAATGATTATAAATAATGAAAGAATTCAACAGAGTGTTTGAATTCCAAATAAACACAAAATTCAATAATTGGCCTACTAATCAGACAGAGATAATTATAAAATTGACAATTTTATGATTTATAATGATAAAAATATAAAAATGTCAAGAATAATTCTGTTAAGTATTGGCTAAACACTTTCTGGCAAAATCTTTAAAAATTGACAAAGAATACAAAAGAATATTTGAATAAATGAAAATATGTATGTTGTTTTAGCTGAATAGATTATTTCAAGATGCTAATTATCCTCAAATAACCTCTAAGTTGAGTATAATCCTGCTGAAAATCCCAATGTATTTTAAAGAAACTCAATACATTGATTGTTTAGTCTAATCTAAAAACTCAAGCAGTCAAGCACACTTGGCAATTTTAGCTGTGTGTGTGGTGCTGGGGTTCAAACTCAGAGCCTCCTACATGCTAGGTAAGCACTCTCCCACTGAGCCACACTCTCAGTCCTAGAAAAAATTTGAAAATGTTTAGGTATAATATAGAAATATGAAGAAGAATTTATTTTCACAGATCAAAACTCACTTCAAAGCTTCAATAACAAAACCTGTATGATTGGTGCACAATTAAACAAATAGGTTAATCATTCAGAGGAGCAGACTGAAAAACAAATTCATATACATATGGAAGATAATTGTTTGAGAAAGTAACCTTTAATATCATTGAGTACAATCATGACTTCAATAAATGTTGCTGACATAATTGTTATATATTTAGAAATAATATATGATATAACAGAAAAGATCTAAATGTAAAAACATGTAACCATAAAAGCACTAGAGAAAAAAAAAACATAAGAAAACATTTTAACAAATTTGTAAAGGAAAAATATTTTCTAAACAATAAAGGATGATTTGAAGGAAAAAGACTGACAGACTTGACCCCAACAAATGTAAAGCTATTTACATCTATCAGATTAAAACAAAGGTAAAGAACAAATGGTGCAAGGAGATATTTGCAACATGTAAAACTAGACAAACAAGTAATATCTGTAATATAGAAAGAGCACTTGATGATCAATAAGAAAAAGATAAAAACTAAGTAGAAAAAGGGCATAAATAAACATTTCAAAGAAGAACTATGAACTATCATATATATATAAAAACATTCTCTCCATTTGTAATCACAGAAACACAAACTAAAAATAACTTTTTTCACATTACACACTGACAATAACATCAAGTGCAAATTCAGTGATACCTAGTACTGGCAATAGTTTGAGAACATATTTTTGTTATGAGCTCAAATGAGTAAAGGCTTTTAAAAATGGCAATTTGTCAGTATCCATCAACATTTCAAAGATGAATGTTTTGAAAGTAGTTTTCACCTTCTTAGACTGCATGCCAGCAAACTGTATGCAATGATACATAAATATTCATTGTGAAACTTTAAGTGACAGCAAACATTAGCCGTAATCCAAATTTCCATAGTTAAGTAAACTAGGACAGAGACACTCCATCAAATACTGTTTGTCTGTGTTAAAGGATAAGGAATGTTTTTCTACACAGCGGTACTAAATGAGGAAGAACTCAATATCAGCTTCTTGGGATTTGAATCGTAGGACAGTTGTAAGGGCTCAATCTGGGCCTCAACCCTGGAGCCCTTCAGGAGGTTTACTAGTGAACCCAGGGAGGGGTGCACTCCAATAGGAGCCCCAGGGGAGGAACGGAGCCAGCCCACTGCATTGAGGAGACATGGAGCCAAGCCCGCATGTAACAGGTAGACCTTAGGAGACATGATCACGAGGCGGCCTTGGCCATAGGAGGAGGCAGCGATGAGAACCTGGCCCCTGTCATTCACCATCACTGGGAAGGCGGCCTCTCCAATAGGACACTTGCCACACTTCACGAGGGCCTTGAAGCAGCATCAGGAGTTGTTGTCATGGTTCTATCAGCGGCTGCAGAGGAAAGCAAAGACCCAGCCTGGTGAATCAATGACCGAAAACTAAATGGATAAAAGCAGAGTATCCCTCTCTGGTAATTTCCTAAGGAGCGCCACACTCTTGATTTGTTTTCATCACTTAGACATCCCTTCCTCTCCCTTCCTACCTCTGCCAACCCAGATATTCTCCGTGGCTCTGTCTTCCACAGGCTCAGCTCTCCTCTATTCCAGTCCCACGTTGTACCTCAGAAATTGCAATCATAGTCGTCCTTCATTTATAACAGCTGTAGTGATCCCATTATTTGTCCTAGCCTGGACCTCTCTAATGGACAGAGATGCTTTATTTTCATTAGCATATGGAGCACCACAGCTATCAGCCCAAGCTTTGTTTGTGGGAAATTGAGTACATCTCTGCCTTCTCAAAAGTTACTCTTTGATCAAATACTTAAGCTTCCTTTCCTGTCTGTGTAGGGAAGATAAGGTCAGCCTCTAAGGATTCTGATGTGAAGACTGAAGGAGTTTACACATGTCAACAGTTTGTTCAGAACCCGGCACGAAACTATCAAGAGCAAATTTCTATGCTTTTACATTCTTCCTGGTTTCTCAGAATGAAAACGGGCACCACAGCCTTAAAATCATGATTGCCTGTTCCTCTCTCCTCTTAGTCATCAGACTCTATCAAGTATCTGTCACATTACTTCCCATTCCTATTGCCACCAAGTTCATTCAGGACCACAAAGCTTTGCGTTTGGACCAAACCAATCTAGAATCTCTGAGTCTCACATTGACTCCCTTGATGAGAAACCTTCAAGACTTCACCACAAGTAAAATACAAATTCTTCTTTCAGTCTGATAGTGGAGGCCTGAGGGATTTGCCTTGTTGAGTTCTTTTCAGTCTTACCCTCTCTCCACATTCAGTTCTACTTGAAAAGTGGAAACATGACCTGTGATTTCTAGCCTCTGTCAGGTCATTTCTTGTAGAATTTCACTCTCTTTCTCCCGTTCTTTGTCTTTTCCCAACACTCATTACTAAAATTCTAAGTCACTAGTAGAAGGCACTCCTGCCAACTTTATTCATCATTGTATCCAAGGGCCCAGCCTGGGGGAGCAAAATGGTGGCTGAGTCAGGTCCTGCAGTGATTATCTCCCCACAGATTATCTCCTTCACAAGAGCTAAAAAGACAGGTGAGAGATCATAGCACCTCCTTAGATCTCGTGAAGGTATTCTGCTACATGAATAGCTGTATTAAGAAAAGACACATTGAAAAAGCCAGGAAGGAAAGAGTTGCCCATGTCACCTTTCACCCCTACTGCAAGTAGGCTCAGCATGGAGAGAGATGCATCCTGCTTGCAGGGAAGGAGAGGGAATTAAGTCCAAGCTTTAGACCTTATATAGGAGGCACTGTGAAATCAGATGCTGCTCAGAGTTTCATAACCCCTACCTTGAGGCTGTACCCTCAGATGGAGCCTCTGGAACTCTGTTGGATGGTTGGCCAAGGGAGTGGTTCTGCCTCGCCTCCCCCAGCCTCAGGCAGCAGAGGAGGAAAGCAAGACTCTATCCCCTGGGGAGCAGAGCATGGAAGCTAGCATAGAAGTTGGCATAGAAACTCAACGCAATGAGACCCAGCGACAAGCAGAAACTAAAGACCCCTAGAACGAGGCCAGACAGAAGGCCCCTCTAAACCTACCCCTGAGGTACCAGGCAGAGACCTGTGCCCTGATGGGACAGACTCATGTTCAGGCCAGCACTCTTGTCCCTTGGCTGACATTAAGCTGGGTCATACCCGAGTCTCACAGCTGCAGAGACCTATGCAGAGTTGAGGAGTGGCATACCACAGGCCCACTCCAAGGGACTGCCTCCACCACCCCTTCTCCAATGTCTTCTTCACAGATGTCTCAGGCAGATGCAAGCAGATGGAGTCCTCATACCTACCCCAGCACCATGTGGAGGCCTGTGCCCAGGTGGGACAAACTTATGTTTCAGCGTACACCACCACTGGCCATGTCATGAACCTGAGGGCACCCCTGAGACTGTACAGGTATTTGTAGCCATGAGACTTGGGTGTGACTCAGATTAGCATCAGCCTTAGTGGGCCAGGGACTGTAATTACCACACTCCCCAACCTTGGGCATCATAGCATGGAACAAGACTGCATTATCAGGATAGGACAGAATAGTAAACCTTAGGACTCAGTGATGAAATCTAGTGCTGAGCAGATCCCAATGCCCCTGCCTTGGGCCAGTGTCTATAGACAAAGCCTCTGGAATGGCACCAGTCTATCTGACCATTATTCTGGCCAGCATCACCCATAGCTGGTTGCATAATAGTCTTGGGCCGTGAGACCATTTGATTAGTAAGCAGCCCTTGGGTTATGGGCATTGGTCTTACCCAAGGCTGCACTGGTCTTGGTGGGCTGTGGGCTTAGGGTGTGACATACCCACCCCATTTTGGTGTTGTTGAAGGCCACAGGACTGCTCATCTCTTTCTTCCCCCAACCCCTGGAAGCGCAGCATCAATAGAGTTACTATCAGCTTGGAAGAAGAATTAGTGGGCTCAAAGACAAGCTATTTAAAAATATACAGTCAGAGAAGAAAAAAGAAAACAATGAAGAGGAATGAATAAATTCTCTATTTATGAAAATTAAAACAGAAATTTGAGGTAGCATTAAAAGGCAAATATTTGTTATGGCACTGATGTTCAAAAGGCAAATAAACCGGCTGGAGAATAAAGGGTGTGTTTCCTGGTCCAGTGCCCTCAGACCTGATGATGGAGTTGGGGATCCTGAAAAAAGGTAAAAGCCCTGAGCTTTAGGCCAGCTTCCTCCAGGAGGCCTCCAATCTCTTGGTTTGAAAGATGGGATCGTTGAAATCCTCCATTGCAGGTGGGACAGGGTCTTGGTATCGGAAATCAGTGATGTAGCCCAAGGTATGTGAGCCTTGGAAATGACCTGTATTTTGGGTAATTAGAAGTAACCTGGTTGGTTTTTAGCAGGTTGGATCTGGTCACTCTGATCCAGTAGCTGTACACAGAGTTCAGAGCAAGTAGAGTTGCAGGCCATGACAGAGACACTGCAGAGCAGGCTGGTGCCAAGAGTCCAGGTGCCAACTTCCAGAGCTGGAATGAGCTCATTACTTATCAGCTCCATATCTCTTGTTTTCTTCTCTGAAAAGTGAGGACAGTAGTAGTGCTCACCTTGTAGGACTGTTGTGAGCACAAATAAAGAAAAAGCACTTCACACTCTTTTTGGCAAATAGTTCATTGATGATTCCCTGACCGGCAGAGGCATCCTTGGGAGCCAACGCACTCTGGGAGATAGATGGCTAGGCGTTTGCTTTCAATGGGAGATATAATTGCACAGCACTTTTCTTTCTTTCTTTCTTTTTTTGCTATAACAATTCTGTTTTGATAGTTCACCAACTCCTCCCATATATAACTTAACTAATTCAATTCTGAATGATTTTCAATGGCCATAAATTTCAACTGCTTGATCAAATTATGAGTTATTCAAGATAAAAATACAAGTAGTGTGGCCAGGGCAGACTGCATGGTAGTAGAAAAGAGAGTACGGTCATCTTATGTAGCCAACTTGTCTTTATGTGACTGAAACCCACAGCACCTTAGATTCCAGTCTCCGCCGGCCCAGGAAAGCTTGGGTTTCCCTGAATGCCATTTCTAAGTGTGGACACCTCCTTTTTTAATTATTGTGAATGTGCTTGCATGGCATTGTTTCCTGTAATGAGGCCAATTGTGTTGGACTAATTTCCATCTCTGCCTAAGTATTGTGATTTCAGTAACAGAGTTAATGTCTTGGGGGTCTTACGAGATTGGGAATAACAGGTCGTAGTTTTTTGCTGTCATTATTGTTTAAATCTCCCTTACACCTACAACCCTCACTAGAAAGGATGGGTTGTTCTTGGCAAAAGGACAATAAATTGAGTGTTTATAAATTTGTGGAAAATTTAGAAAAAATAGGGGTCCTTCTGACTGATGTCTAGGGTGGAAATGGCTCGTCCTTTGGGCTAGCTTTGGCTTACAGTCCCCTTGATATGATGTAGTGTGACAGTCCAAGTGGTCACTGGGCAGCTGTATCCTCGGGGTGACCTCTTGGTTACTCTCCAAGGCAAGGCCTTTTTCTCTCTGTTGCACTTCTCACTCCCTTGGGTTCCTTAGATCTCTGGCATGACAGACAGCTTACAATTTCAATTCTAAACTTTTTTTTAACAATCCCAAATTTCCCACTCTTTACTTAAAACATTCAACATAATGTCCTCTTCTTTCATCATCCTTAGGAGTGTATCGAAGTGACATTTTAATTTTTTATGAAGTAAATTCTCATGGCTTTCCCAAATAAAGGGTGAATCAGCACAAAGAGTTCTGGAGTTCTCCTAGGGAAACCAAATCATCCTCCTATAGAACCAGGAAATATTTGTCCAACAGGACTTTTCAAAATTGAAGCCAGGCATGGTGCTAAAAACCTTATAACAGGGGCAAGTGTGTGAGAAGAGCAGTCTGAGGGGACTGGGGATGTGGCTCAAGCGGTAACACGCTCACCTGGCATGCACGGGGCGCTGGGTTCAATCCTCAGCACCACATAAAAATAAAATAAAGATGTTGTGTCCACCGAAAACTAAAAAAATAAATATTAAAAAGTTCCCTCTCTCTCTCTCTCTCTCTAAAAAAAAAAAAAAACCAGAAGAGCAGTCTGAGAATGTTGACATCATGAGATGCCAGTAAAGAAACAGCATCAACTGAAAAGTTGCTGCCCTTTCTTGGAAACCCCAGCCACACCTCATGCTTGGACTGACTAACTGTTGTTGCACTGACTGCTAATGCTCAGACATGTTGAGGGACTTTTGCTTGCAGAAGAATAAGCATATCGGAGATGCATTTTAGGTTTCTATTTACAAGCTCCTGGTTAAAATAGTCCAAGGGGCCAAAATAAAAATAAATATCTTCTCATCATAGGAATCTGTGTTCAATGAGTGGACAAAATTTGAACATAGGCTAATAGCATCATTTTGTTCTCCTCTACAGAAAAGGAGACAGATCAGAGCTGAGGTACCTGTGTGACGTTGCTATTAATAGGTATCTCAGCTGTCTTGCTTTACAGTTGGGAATTCTTACAAAAAGATTTGAATGTATTTGTTCTTAATTTGGCATAATTTTCTTTTGTAGCTATAAAAGTACTGACTTTATTTTTTTAACTATGTAAGAACTGATGTGAATCAATCGGAGATCACTTTTCCTATGTTCATATATGAATGCACAACCAGTGAAACCCATATCATGTACAACCACAAGAATGGGAAGTTATACTCCATGTATGTAAAATATATTAAAGTACACTCTACTGTAAGACAAATAAAGTTAATATACATAAAAAAATGAAGTACTGATTCAACATGGTGAGCTGGAAGGAGGCAGCATTCTGTTTTGCTCCCAGACCTGGGATTCAAGTAGATGACCCCCGAGAGCTGCTCAGGAATCACAGCCACCATGCCACACAGGTCTCTAGGCCTTAGCATCATGCAGGACTCCTGGCCCCTTGTCCACACAGGACCTTCGGGTGCCTGAGGAGGACCACCGGCATTAGCACCTGCATAGGACTCCTGGCTGTCCAAGGGGTCAAGAACTCCAGCCACCACTCCCACATGGACCTGCATCTACCAAAGTGGGGATCTCCTAGTTGTCTCCATCTTGGGACACTGCAACCACTGCCATAGTCCCCTACATGTGGTAGCCTGCACCTGGGGACAACCGCCAGCCAACACGGCACACCACAGAGCTGCATCTCTGAACACACCGCTTAACACCACGGCCAACCCCACCCGACCAGACACCCCATTATTTCTGAAAGCAGCCACCTCCATCTTGGGACACCTTTATCGCCATCTTTAGTTGGGACAACTCCCAGTGTGGAACATCAGCTGGGGCTTAGAAGCATTATTAAGGTCCTGAAGGTCCCCAACTTCCCGCTGTGCTGCAGCCACTCACCTTGCACAGTGCCTGTGGCTCCACGGCTGGTCTCTAGCTCATAAAACTGGGTCCTGAGCTGCCCAGTATAAAACAGCTCTCTGCAACAGGTGCACAGGTCACAGAGCACAGCCCACAAGACCTCCTGACAGAAAGGTTCCTGATTGGGAAGTAGAAAGGGAGGGAGGGAGGGAGTGAGATACAGTTTAGAGACTCAACTAGAGACCAGGAATTGTGAGGTGACAGGCAATATGAGGAGATAAGACCAGGCATCCACATCACATAAGTGGGCTCCAAAGGAGACCCTTGGGGTGCAGTCTCCCGTTGGGGACCAGCAAGTGCTATACCTCACCTCCAGGAGCTCTGCCCACAAGACCAAACCTCCCACCAATAATTTTCACCATCTTGAGGGTGAAGATACCAGCAAACAACAGACAACCCCACCTATTGGAACAGAGGGGAAGCAGGAAAGATACTGAACTCCAAAAAACAATCCTTATATCTTCCTTTGAGATTTTTCTCTCTATCTATCTATCTCCTCCCGCCCTCACATCCCCAACATTTGTGAAACCAAGTACTTTTCCTGAATTAGGCTACTGAGGACTGGGATGTCTGAATAGTATATTACAGTGGTATTGTATATTCTTTTGTCTCCTATTTTTACATTTTTAATTTTTCTTAATATTTATGTGTATTTTTTTGTACTCTATTGTCCTCCCACTTACTTGTCTCTCCAAAATCACTTACTTTCTCTTCTCCTGCTACTAACCAACTTCTTTAGAGTCCTCTTTCACGCTAAGATCTAATAACTCTATATCCTCATCTCCTGCCCCTCAACATCTCATCCTATACCTCACCCCTGGTTCTTTGTCCACCATCAGAAACTGTAGAGCCTTTTGCAAACTTACTGTTTATATTGTAGGTAATAATTGAACTTACCATTTCTGTCTATTGTGACAAAACCGTAAATGTCTTAATAGCAGGTATTTGGTTTGCGGTTGTATACTTCTGTATAGGGATCTGTTCACATTGTTCTCCCCCTTAAAGAAGAGGTATTGGCAACCTGCAGGGACACTCTAAGCCTATCAGGTAAAAACTGTAACACCTTGGATCTGCAGTGCTAGAAGGGAAGACACACAAACAACATGAAAAACCAAGGGAAGAAAGTGCCCCAAATAAACCAAGATATTACATTATTAGAATCCATGGCCAGCACAACAGAAGAAATAACAGAGAAGGAATTTAGGATGCACATAATTAAAATGTCCTGTGAATTACAGGATGATTTAAGAAAGAACATACAGGCAGCAAAAGATCATTTTGATAAAGAGCTGCATAAGCAAATACAGAAAGCAAATGATTACTTCAGTAGGGAGATAGAGGTTTTGAACAAAAACCAAACAGAAATCATTGACATGAAAGAAACAATAAACCAAATTAAAAGCTCAAAAGAAAGCATCACCAACAGATTAGATCACTTGGAAGACAGGACTTCAGATAAGATAGATGAAATGTATAATCTTGTAAAGAATGTTGACCACACAGTGAAGATGGTAAGAAACCATGAGCAGAACATTCAAGAATAATGGGATAACATAAACAGATCAAATTTAAGAGCTATTCGGAGAGAGGAAGGCATTGAGTTCCGAACCAAAGGAATGAACAATTTATTCAATGAAATAATATCAGAAAATTTTCCAAACATGAAGAATGAATTGGAAAACCAAATACAACAGGCTTACAGGACCCTAAAGGTAGAAAACCACAACAGATCCACACCAAGTCACATTGTAATGAAAATGCATAGCATACAGAAAAAGAAAAGACTTTTAAAATCATGAGAGAAAGGAATCAAATTACATATAGGGGGAAACCAATTAGGATATCTGCAGGTTTTTCAACCCAGACCCTGAAAGTGAGAAGATCCTGGAATAACATATACCAAGCTCTGAAAGAAAATGGATGTCAAACAATAATCTTATATCCAGAAAAAATAAGCTTTAGATTTGATGATGAAATAAAAAACTTCCATGATAAACGAAAGTTAAAAGACTTTACAACTAGAAAGCCTGCACTACAGAACATCCTTAGCAAAGTATTCCATTAGGAGAAAATAAAAAACAACACTTAAAATCAGCAAAGGGAGGCATTACACTAAAGGAAATACCAATTAAAGGAGAAACCAAGTCAAGTTCAATACCAAAAATAAACAAATATGACCAGGAATACAAATCATGTCTCAATAATAACCCTGAATGTTAAAGGCCTAAACTCACCAATCAAAAGACATAGACTGGCAATTTGGATAAAAAAAGACCCAACAATATGCAGCCTCCAAGAGACTCAACTCATAGGAAAAGACATTCACAGACAGAAGGTGAAAAGTTGGGAAAAAACATATCACTCACATGGACTGCGGAAACAAGCAGGGGTCTACATCCTCATATCAGATAACAGACCTCAAGCCTAAGTTAATCAAAAGGGACAAAGAAGGACATTTCAAACTTCTCAAGGGAACCTTACATCAATAAGACATAAAATTATAAAAATATATGCTCCAAACAATAAAGCATCTACGTTCATCAAACAAACTCTACTCAAGTTCCAGAGTCAAACAGACCACAGCACAGTAATTCTGGGTGACTTTAACACCCTCTTTCACCACTGGATAGATCTTCCAAACAGAAGCTGAACAAAGAAACTCTAGAACTCAATAATACAGTCAATAACTTAGACTTAACTGACATTTATAGAATATTTCATCCATCAATGAGTGGATACACTTTCTTTCCAGCAGTACATGGATCCTTCTCTAAAATAGACAATATATTGTGCCACAAAGCAACCATTAGAAAATACAAAAAAAGTAGAGAGACTACCCTGCATTCTATCAGATCATAATGGAACAAAATTAGAAATCAATGATAAAATAAAAAATAAAAGCTACTCCAACACCTGGAGACTAAATAATATGCTACTGAATGAACAATGTCTTGTAAAAGACATCAAAGAGAAGATTTAAAAATTCTTAGCTGTAAATGAGAACACTGATGCAACATATTGAAATTTCTGGGACACTATGAGGGAAGTACTAAGAGGAAAGTTCATTGCATGAAGTTCATTCTTTAAAAGAAGAAAAAAGTCACAAATAAATGATCTAACATTACATCTCAAAGCCCTAGAAAAAGAAGAACAAATCAACACCAAAAGCAGTAGAAAATAGGAAATGATTAAAATCAGAGCTGAAATCAATGTAATTTCATACTGCTCAAGGGAACCATACATCAACAAAAGAAACAATTGGAAAACTGAGAAAATAAAAAGTTGTGTCTTTGAAAAAATAAATAAAACTGATAAAACCTTAGCCATGCCCATGAAGAGAAGGAGAGAGAAAAATCAAATTACTAATATCTTTGATGAAAAAGGAAATATCACTATAGAAATACAGAAGATAATTAGAAATTATTTGGAATATTTGTACTCCAATAAAATAGGAAATGTTGAAGTCATCAACAAATTTCTTGGGTCATATGATTTGCCCAAACTGAATCAGTATGGTATACACAAGTTAAACAAATCAATTTCAAGCACTGAAATAGAAGATGCCGTCAGAAGCCTATCAACCAAGAAAAGCCCAGGATCAGATAGATGCACAGCTGAGTTCTACAAAACCTTCAAAGAAAAACTAATACCAATACTCCTCAAATTATTTCATAAAATAAAAAAGAGGGAACATTTTCAAACTCATTCTATGAAGCCAATATCACCCTGAATCCAAAACCAGACAAAAACACATCAAAAAAAAAAAAAAAAAAAAGAGAAAACTTCAGACCAATGTCTCTAATAGACATAGATGCAAAAATTTTCAATAAAATTCTGGCAAATTGAATACAAAAAGACAGTGCACCACGATCAAGTGGGGTTCAGCCCAGGGATGCAAGATTGGTTCAACATATGGAAATCAATAAATGTAATTTGTCACATCAATAGACATAAAGATAAGAATAATATGATCATCTCAATAGATGCAGAAAAAGCATTTGACAAAATACAACACCCCTTCATGTTCAAAACCCTTGAAAAACTAGGGAAAACAGAAACATATCTCAACACTGTAAAAGCTATCTATGCTAAGCCACAGGCCAACATCATTCTAAATGGAGAAAATTGAAAGCATTCTCTCTCAAAACTGTTACAAGACCGAGATGCCCTCTTTCAACACTTCTATTTAACATAGTTCTTGAAACTCTAGCCAGAGCAATTAGACAGACAAAAGAAATTAAAGAGATATGGATAGGAAAAGAAGAATTCAAATTATTGCTATTTGCTGATGATATGATTCTATATCCAGAAGATCCCAAAAGTTCCACCAGAAAATTTCTAACTCTAATAAATGAATTCAGCAAAGTAGCAGGATATAAAATCAACATCCATAAATCAAAGGTATTTCTGTACATCAGTGACAAATCCTCTGAAAGAGAAACTACGAAAACTATCCCATTTACAATAGCCTCAAAAAAAAAAAAAAAAAAAAAAACCCAACTTGGGAATCAATGAAAAAGGTGAAAGACCTCTACAATGAAAACTACAGAACACTAAAGAAAGAAATTCAAGAAGACCTCAGAAGATGGAAAGACCTTCCCTTGTTCTTGGATAGGAAGAATTAATATTGTTAAAATGACCATACTACCAAAAGCACTATACAGATTTAATGCAATTCCAGTTAAAATCCCAATGACATTCTTCATAGAAATAGAAAAAGCAATCATGAAATTCATCTGGAAAAATAAGAGACCTAGAATAGCTAAAGCAATCCTTAGCAAGAAGAGTGAAGCAGGTGGTACCACAGTACCAGATCTTAAACTATACTACAGAGCAATAGTAACAAAACAGCATGGTATTGACACCAGAGTAGACTTGATGACCAGTGGTACAGAATAGAGGACACAGAGACTAACCTACATAATACAGTTATCTCATATTAGACAAAGCTACCAAAAACATATATTGGAGAAAGGATAGCCTCCTCAATAAATAGTGCTGGGAAAACTGGAATTCCATATGGAACAAAATAAAATTAAACCCCTATCTCTCACCATGCACAAAACTCAAAGTGCATCAAGGACCTAGGATTTAAACCAGAGACACTGCACCTAATAGAAAAAAAAGTAGGCCCAAATCTTCATGTTGAATTAGAACCTGACTTCCTTAATAAGACTCCTATTGCACAAGAAATAAAATCAAGAATCAATAAACGAGATGGATTCAAACTCAAAAGCTTCTTCTCAGCAAAAGAAACAATCAATGAGGTGAATAGCGAGCCTACAGAACGGGTGCAAATTTTTACTACATGCACATCAGATATATAAAGAACTCAAAAAGCTAAACACCAAAAAAAAAAACAAAACCCAAAAACCTCAATCTATAAATGGACCAAAGAACTGAACAGACACTTCTCAGAAGATGATATATAATCAATCAACAAGTATATGAAACAAATGTTCAACATCTTTAGCAATTAGAGAAATGCAAATCAAAACTACTCTAAGGTTTCATCTCACTCCATTCAAAATGGCAGCTATTAAGAAAACAAACAACAATAAATGTTAACGAGAATGTGGAGAGAAAGGTACGCTCATAAATTGCTGGGGGGACTGCAAATTGGTGTGACCATTAGGGAAAGTCGTATGGAGATTCCTTGGAAAAGGTGGAACGGAACCACCATTGACCCAGCTATCCCTCTCCTCCATTTATACCCCAAAGACTTAAAAACAGCATACTACAGGGACATAGCCACATTAATGTTTATAGCAGCACAGTTCACAATAGCTAAACTATGGAATCAACCTAGTTGCCCTTCAACAGATGAATGGATAAAGAAGATGTGGCATATATACACAATGGAATATTACTCAACATTAGTAAATGAGCAGAAAATCATGACATTTGCAGGTAAATGGATGGAGTTGGAAAATATTATGCTAAGTGAAGAAGGCTAATCCCAAAAAACCAAATGCCGAATGTTTTCTCTGATATGAGGATGCTGATCCATAATGGGGATGCAGGGGGAGCATGGGAAGAATGGAGAACTTTAGATAGGGTAAAGGGGAGGAAGGAAATGGAGAGGGGGCAAGAGGGTTGGAAAGATGGTGGAATGAGAGGGACATAATTACCCTAAGTCCATGATGAAGACACAAATGGTGCGACTCTACTTTGTGTACCACCAGAGACATGAAAAGTTGGGCTCAATATGTGTACTATGAAATGAAATGTATTCTGCTGTCATATATAACAAATTAGAATGGATAAATAAATAAATAAATGAAGTACTGATATGAACAATTATGGTGTATTCACAGCAGTATCCAGGGCTCTCCACAGCATGATGGTAGCTTGTGTTTGTGGTGTGATTTCCCACCACTCTCTTATACTTGCTCCAGTCCAATTCTCTCCTATTGCTTTTAAATTATAATTATTTGTGCATATTAATTGTACAGAATAACCATTTTCATTGTGTCAATTTCATGGATGCATAAAACAAACTTCAATCATATCCAACTTCCTGAGCACCATTTTTTAACCCTCCACTCCCCATGGTCCTCTTTTTCTTCTCCAACAGATTCCATTCCACTTTCATATGAGAGAAAACCTTGGAATGATTCTTATGGTAGGACAAATATCTGTTGCAGAATCTAATAGTATGACTGAACAGGGAAAATGTTCATTCAGAATAAAGTATGTACATCAGAGTTCACTTTGGCTAGAAATGTCAGTTAGTAGACAGGATTGACATAGAATACAGGGCAGACGAACCCCAGAAAAATAATAAATTATTTCTCAACAACACAGAAGAAACTCTGGAAAATAGCTCATTGTTTTCTCTGAACTAGGGTCCTGATAAAAGGGGAAATAAGAATTAATGGAAAAACCACCCTCACAATGCAGACTGTATTCAGAAGATACAGAGACTGTTTTGATCTCTGCTAGATCTCTACTATAAAGAATGGGGCGTGATCCATGATAAAGAGCCCTGCAAACCACAGCTGATTCCTTGATTTAAGAGAAATTGATAAGCACTCTCTATGTGCCAGGCCCTACACATGGAGAGGGACTCTAAGACAAGCTTTTCTATTAAATGGGTACGGCTTTGGTCACAGGGGGTACTGGTGGTGAGGACCAACCCCTCTTGTGTCTTGGTGCATTTTGACTGTGCTCTTTTTGATTTGTGGTGATTCCAAACCTATGTGGAAAACCACTGGTCTTGAAATGGAAGCTCACTGGAGGTGAGAAGATTGAGCCTATTTTTTAACATGATTACACTCCTTATCTAGGGAAGACACACTCACACGACATGCAGCGGGATCTTGGGCACCTTCTTGGAGACCTTGAAGTGGCTTCTGTCCCCATGGATGTCAGTGAAGTACACTCCAGCCATGCTAGTCACCTGGTTCCCGGGGAAGCTGGACAGCACCTTGTCACGGCCATGCTGACTGGCCCAATGCCAGGCCTGGCCCCCGATCAGCAAGCCCCCTCCCTGTTTCACAAACTGGACCAGCCTCGCGGTCAAGCCATTACTGTAGGCACTGGTGCAGTAAACACCCAGGGCCTCTCTAGGCTCTGGCTCAATCTGGGCCTCAACCCCAGAGCCCTTCAGGAGGTTTACTAGTGAACCCAGGGAGGGGTGCACTACAATAGGAGCCCCAGGGGAGGAACGGAGCCAGCCCACTGCATTGAGGAGAAATGGAGCCAAGCCCGCATGTAACAGGTAGCCTTCATGGGACATGACCACGAGGCGGCCTTGGCCATAGGAGGAGGCAGCGATGAGAACATGGCCCCTGTCATTCACCATCACTGGGAAGGCGGCCTCTCCAATAAGAAGGAGCTTACTGGGGATGGGGCCTTTGGGGATATCCCAGCTGGTCACTCCTTTCATGAGGGTCTCGAAAGCAGCATCAGGAGTTGGTGCCATGGTTCTACCAGCTGCTGCAGAGAAAAGCAAAGTCTCAGGTTGGTCAGAACAGATGGAGGAAGGAGTGAAGCAAAGAACTAAATTCATTCACCTGGCAACTTGTACTGGTTCCCCACTGTGGGCCATGCATGTTCTCATACTAGGAATAAATCCAGGGACAAAACAGAAAAGGACCCCAACAAGAAAATGAATAAACAGGAAGGTAAAGAGACATACAATGCAGCATCAAATAATCCCTGTCATGAAAGTAAAGCCTGGCAGTGAGATATGGAGGGACTGGAGGATATTTCAGATTGGATGGCAGGAAGGACACTGATGAGAAGGTGGTGTTAAAGGGAAAACCCACAAGGTGGCAGGGGCTGAGCCTTACAGGCCTGGCCCCTGATCCGTGAAGAAGCACCAGGGTAGCTGGAGAACCAGGGCAAGGAGGACCAGATCCAGCTCCTTCCTATGCCCTCAGGTCAAGGCCAGGGTTAAGCTGGTGTGCATTGGTCGATTCATTTTGATTTCCTTGGACAGAAAAGCCACATCACTTGCCAGAAACTGCATTGGTTCGGACAGCTTTGACTATGTGAGCTGGAAATGCCTGTTGCTATATCTTATCTGCCTGGGGAGGTCCCTGTTTGGTATTCTGGCGTTTCTGGAGGTCTTTATAATTTGGTGTGCTTAACACTGAACTCATTACACTGTTCCCTTCAGAGAAGTGCCTTCTGGTAAGTTATTTGGGCTTGGTTTTCCACCTGTAAAACGAGAATCACGTCCCTTGGAGGACAGTTTCTGAAGATGTGCACACATATGGTATGCACAGTGAACGCTGAGAAAACTCAGTGCTCATCCTGCTTCTGCCCTCTCTAGTTTCCCCGAGCAACATGGGCAATGCAGTTGGTACTCTTGGTGTCCCTGCTATTTCCCTCTCCTCACTCAGAATGGGGGCGTTCACTGTAGGGGACTTTCCTGTGCACTCAGATGCACAGGGCAGTCCCACATGTGGTAAGTGGACTTCCCAGGTACCTCCACCCATTGGAGGGAGCCAAGGGTCCATATCTAGCATCTGTCCTGCAAGTTATCTCATAGAGTCCCTCAAAGGGACCCTGGAAGTACTAAGTCCTGGTGCTCAATGGGAAAGAGCTCAGCCACAAACCCCTGCTGGATTCCCTCCTTCCTTGTATCACTTTTCCCATGACCTACCTGGGGTTTTCTGGGCTCTCTTCCCAAATAAACCACCTGCAGGCAGGCCTTGCATTAGGTGTTGCTTTGAGGAAAGCACCCCATGGGGTGCCTAACACTTGAGCCCTTGTCTCCCTTCCTCCCTCCTGCTTCCACCTGCAGTCCCAGCTCCTTCTTTCTGTCTTGTCTCTCAAACATCAAGCCCTTTAGTTTACGTTCATGTCTAGACTCAACCTGGTTGTAATCCCAGCTTGCGGTCCAATCGACAATATTCTTCCTTAAGAAGTCATAAGAACTCTCACATGGCATCCATTGACAACAGGGTGAAACTGGCTGTGCTTCACCCTGACTTTCAAGACCTCCAGGTCTGGCACTCCATTGTTGACTAGATTTTTTTTTTTCCCTGTCATATTCTTTAAGGGACTGTCTAGTAGATTTGGCATCCGTGAGTGTGCCCTGCATTTCCTGTGGAAATCTCCTCCTGCCCTGCTTCCCATCTACCTGCTCTTTCACAGAATTGCTTCCAGGAGAGTGAGTGCATTGGTGTTCTTAGCTCAGGGTTTAGGAGTGGAAAAGGACAGTAGGGAGAGATGCAGAACCTGGAGTTTCACGTGGGGCTGACTCCCTCTGCGAAGACAAGAAGTCTGTCATTTCTCCCTAGTTTGACCAGGGGGAAAAAAAATGCAAGCCCCAATGAATAATCTGTGCTGGGCGCCAAGCCAGGGGTTCTACATCTAGATGCACTGGAGCATGTGTCTCTCACCACTTGCAGCACATATCATGCACCTCAAATTCAAAGAGAGGACAAATTAACGGAACGAAAGGAAACACCTAGATCTAAGAGACATCCAGACAATGGGACCAGTGTGAGGCATCCTCTGGCACCTGGGGGCCACCCTCAAGTGTCCCCCAAGCGCTTAGCCACCTGTGAGGTAGTTGGACTGAAATACTTACACTTTGGCGGCCAGGGTCTGGATGGACTGTCGCTGCTGAAGCTCAGAGCGGCTTTCCAGAGGCGGGGCAGGGCAGGGCTGGGCAGGGCTGGGGCTTCTCTAGGGTCCAGGGTTCCGAGGTAGGGCTGTCCCGGGGCGGGGCTATCCCTGGGCGCGGCTCTTCTGGGCGGGGCTGTTCCCCAAGCCCGCTGCTGATCCCGGGGCGGTGCAGTACAGAGCTGGCGCTTTCCCAGGCGGCTCGCCCGCCGCTGGGGAGCGGCTAAGCAGAAATGGGGCTGCCCGGGGGCGGACTTTCAAGAGGCAAGCGAGTCCATCTCGGAGTGGGGCGGTGCTGGGAGGTGTCTGGGGAGGGAGCTGTGCAGAGGCGCGGCTGTCCTGGAGGGTGGCTATCCAGGGTTGGGGCCAGATGTTGGCAGTGTAGGCTGGCCCTGGGGCGGGCTGTCCAGAGATGAGCTCTACAGATTTAGCTTACCTCACTCTCTACTTAACATTTAAAATAATGTCCTCTCCTTTCTTTTTTTTTTTTTAATTTTTTATTGTTGGCTGTTCAAAACATTACATAGTTCTTGATATATCATATTTCACACTTTGATTCAAGTGGGTTATGAACTCCCATTTTTATCCCGTATACAGATTGCAGAATCACGTCAGTTACACATCCACTGATTTACATATTGCCATACTAGTGTCTGTTGTATTCTGCTGCCTTTCCTATCCTCTACTATCCCCCCTCCCCTCCCCTCCCCTCTTCTCTCTCTACCCCATCTACTGTCATTCATTTCTCACCCTTGTATTATTTTCCCCTTTCTCCTCACTTCCTCTTGTATGAAATTTTGTATAACCCTGAGGGTCTCCTTCCATTTCCATGCAATTTCCCTTCTCTCTCCCTTTCCCTCCCACCTCTCATCCCAGTTTAATGTTAATCTTCTTCTCATGCTCTTCGTCCCTACTCTGTTCTTAGTTACTCTCCTTATATCAAAGAAGACATTTGGCATTTGTTTTTTAGGGATTGGCTAGCTTCACTTAGCATAATCTGCTCTAATGCCATCCATTTCCCTGCAAATTCTATGATTTTGTCATTTTTTAATGCAGAGTAATACTCCATTGTGTATAAATGCCACATTTTTTTATCCATTCATCTATTGAAGGGCATCTAGGTTGGTTCCACAGTCTTGCTATTGTGAATTGTGCTGCTATGAACATCGATGTAGCAGTGTCCCTGTAGCATGCTCTTTTTAGGTCTTTAGGGAATAGACCTAGAAGGGGAATAGCTGGGTCAAATGGTGGTTCCATTCCCAGCTTTCCAAGAAATCTCCATACTGCTTTCCATATTGGCTGCACCAATCTGCAGTCCCACCAGCAATGTACAAGTGTACCCTTTTCCCCACATCCTCGCCAGCACTTGTTGTTGTTTGACTTCATAATGGCTGCCAATCTTACTGGAGTGAGATGTCCTCTCCTTTCATCACTTTCAGGAGTTCATAGAAGTGCACTGTAATTTTTTATGAAAAAACAGTTTTCATGGCTTTCCCAAACAAAAAGTGAATCAGATCAAAGAGTGGTGTAGAAAATGTAGTTCTCCTGTGGAAATCAAACCATTTTCCAACAGAACCAGGAAATACTCATACAACAGGACTTGTCAAATGAAGCCAGGCGTGGTTCCAAAGACCTTCTAACAGGGACAAGTGTGTGAGATGAGCCTTCTGAGAATGTGGACACCATGATATGCTTGTAAGCAAATAGCATCAGCTGAAAAGTAGCTGCCCTTCCATGGAAAACCCAGCCCCGCCTCATGCTTGGACTGACTGCTTCCCAAGGCACTGGCTGCTAATTGCTCAGACATGTCTGGGGAATTTTGCTTGCAGAATAAGAACATCAGAGATGCTTCCTAGGTTTCTATTTACAAGCTCCTGGTTAAAATAATTCAAAGGGCCAAAACAAAACAAAATAAAAAAATCTCATCATCGGAATCTGTGTTCAGTGAGTGAACAAAATTTGAACGTAGGGTAATAGCATCTTTTTGTTCTGCTCTACAGAAAAGGAGACAGATCAGGGCTGAGGTACCTGTGTGACATTGCTATTTATAGGCATCTCAGCTGTCTTGCTTTACACTTGGGAAGTCCTATAAAAAGATTTGAATGTTTTTTTTTTCTTAATTTGTCATGATTCTCTTTGTAACTATAAAAGTAATGATTTTAATTTTTCAAACTATGAAAATACTGATGTGAAGGACAGGATGAGTTGGACATAACTTTCCTATGTTTTATGAGCATACAACCAGTGAAACTCCACATCATGTGCAACTACAAGAATGGGATCCTATTTCGGATAAGTTATACTCCATATAAGTATAACATGTCAAAATACACTCTACTATAAAAAAACAAACTTAATATACAGGAAGAAAGCAAGTGCTGATGTGAACAATTACGGTATATTCACATCAGCATCCAAGGCTCTCCACCACATGATGGCAGCTTGTGTTTGTGGTGTGATTTCCCACCACCCTCTTATACATGTTGTAGTCCCACCGGATTTGCCCTCATTCTCTCCTATGGCTTTTAAAATTAGAATTATTCATGTATATTAATTGTACAGAATAATAATTTTCATTGTAAAGATTTCGTGCCTGCATAAAATGAACTTTGATTGTATCCAACCTCCTGATGGCCCTTTCTTAACCCTCTGCTACTCCCCATCCCCCGTCCCCTTTTCCTTCCCCAGAAGATTCCATTCCACTTTCATATGAGAGAAAACATTGGCATGATTCTTATGGTGGGATAAATATCTGTTACAGAATACAATAATATGGCAGAAGAAGGAAAATGTCCATTCAAAATAAAGTATTTACATCAGAGTTAATGTTAATTAGTAGAGAGGAATTGACATAGAAA